CACAGGCAGGGAACGAGCGCAGCCCGGAGCGCCGCGGGGCTCGGAGCATCTCCCTGCTCGGAGCATCTCCCTGCTCGGACCATCTCCCTGCCCGGGGCACCTCACTGCCCGGGGCTCGGGACATCTCCCCGCCCGGGGCATCTCCCTGCCCGGGGCATCTCCCCTGCCCGCACACAGCCCGGGCAGAGCTGCGACTGATACACAGCGGTTCAAACGCGCAAAATGCGGGGGGAGCATCACCCAGGCTCGGAGAGGGGAAACGCAGGCACCTTTGGGCTGGGAGAGCACACGGGGAGGTATCCCAGCACCCTAAGTCCAGGGCACCACCAGCTCCAGCCCTTTCGCTGGGCACCCGAAACAACAGCTTTTCCAAAAGCTGGAGGCAACTCCCCTCCCTCTCTGAGAGGGAAAGCCTCGGAATCCCCAGTCCGGAGACAGAAACACCAGCAGCCAATGCACCAAAGCGCCCCAAACCAGGCAGAGCAAGACTCGTGGAACAGCCACATACCTCGTGCAGCAGCTCGAGCTGTCCCAGGACAGACAGGCGCCAGGGAGAGCAAACCGCCCCCCAGGGCCGGCAGAGCTGCTTTTGTTAGTGGGCAGCTCCTAATTAGCACGGGTGGGTCCTGATGAGAAGGGTGGAGCTTGCCCTGCCCTGAATCCCAACATCACAGGGTTGCAAAGCCCTGTGAGATCCTCTGGTCCGACGGTGTACTCAGCACTGCCAAGGCCACTGTGTCCCCAAGTGCCACATCTACACACCTTCTGAACAAATCCCCCCCGGGGATAGTGACACCACTTCCCTGGGCAGCCTGAAGGTGTGGGAAACCCTGGAAAATCCCTTCCTCTCTGCTCCATGGCCCAGCTTCAGCCCACACCTGGGGAAGAGCAAACGAGGGGGAATCAGCCCTTTCCACCCTGGGTCTGCCCCAGCCCCATGGCAGGGACAGGCTGAGCATCCTCTCCCTGGCCCACCCCTCTCCCAAGGAACAGTTTGCAGCAGGGATGACTGGAGAGGAAG